TGAGATCACCAGAGGTGCTGACGCGCTGACCAAGTCAGCTGCAGCAGGCTGGCCAGTTTCCACCACTCGCCTCCCTTGGCTTTCCACAAAACTAGTCACAAAGAGAACTCATTCTTGGGCCAGGGATTTAGCTCAGTGGTTCCGCTGCCTGCCTCGCGGCCTGGTGGACACCAGCTTAGCCACGTGGTCACAGTCAACAGCATCCGCGTGGACAGATGGCGCCACACACTCCAGGGGGCGCTGTGACAAACACCACACGCAGCTGTCACTTCTGCTGAGGGCGCAGATGGAGACTCATCCTGAGGGGACACCTCAGCTGGGAAGCAGGCTGCACATCAGCTTGCCTGAACTACAGAAAACATCAAGGTCATGCAGACAACGGAAGGCCAGAGAGCCTCAGGGACGAACAGAAGCAAAGAGACAGATAACTACACACAACACATCCAGGAACAAGGAAGAAGGCTGCACTGAGGACAGTACTGGTGTAACTGGCACAATGTGAATACAAACCATTGCAAATCAAGAATTAACGAAGCTCCTGTCTTTCCACGTGAAAATATGACTTTGGGTTCACTTTTCTGGCTCTAGAAAGCTGACAGTCACATTGCCAGGCAACAGTACACAGGTTAAAAAATGATCTCGGAGGCTGGAGATTTAGCTCAGTGGTTCCGCTGCCTGCCTTGCAAGTGCAAGGTCCTGAGTTCGATCCCTGGTACCAAAAAAACCCCCCAAAACCAAAAAACCAAAAGCCAAATACCAAACACAAACAAAAAATGATCTTGGATGGGCAAACAGCACCTAGACTGGAGGTTGTGATTTGGGGGGGGGCACTGGAGATTGAACTCAGGACCTTTGCATTGAACTACATCACAACCCCCTTCTTTCTTTTCTTTTCTTTTCTTTTCTTTTTTTTTTTTTTTTTGAGACAGGGTCTCACTGTGTAGTTGAGACTAACCTGGAACTCACTGTGTAGCCTGGGCTGGTCTTGAATGCACAGTGATCCTCCTGCCTCAGCCTCCCGAGTGCTGGGATCACAGGCGCGCACCACCAGCCTAGCCCAACCTCTTTCTTTATATTTTTAGTTTGAGTGTAAGTCACCTAAATTGCCCAGGCTGCACTCAAACTTGTAATCCTCTTGCCTCAGCCTCCCAAGTGCTAGAGTACAGGCCTTTCCCCTCACAGCTGGCTGAGGCCTGTGAACTCTGTGGGCCCGCCCCCAAGGTGACGCCTCTTTGCTGCCTGGAGCCATGTAAGCACTGCACTGGGGCCCAAGACTTCCTAGCAAGGTGGCCACCTATGCCACCTGCCTGCTATAGCTGTCGTGGTGCCCGGACCTGGGCCGTGCCTCTTTCCAGGCTCCAGCAGAGTGACGGGGCCTGACGCTGCTGCCCTGGAGATTGCATCCAGTGCATTGTGGCCCAGGCTATCTGTCACAAGCTGGAAATGCAGCGAAGCCCACAAACACTGCAGAACACTTACAACTTCTGGCACAGAGTCAGTGTGTCCTTTCTCCCAATCTTACACACCTGGAATATACCTAGTGTCTATTTAAGAGGGGTCGCTGTACCCCCAAGAAATGCGTGCTGAGTCAGGACTAATCATGAGGTCTGTAGCAGGGTACCGGTGTGCAAAGCCTTGTGCCCCAGTCTCCCAGCAAAACCGCCATCAGTAATGAATAAAGCACTAAAAAATAAAGGCTCTAGAAATTGTCTTACAGGTACAGAGTGTACATTTCCTGTCTTATTCCTAATTTTAGGAACCTGAGTCTTCTTTTTTGCTTGGTCAGTACAACAAAGGTTTGTTGATTCTGTTCTTCTTTTCAAAGAACTGAGTTTTGGTTTTAATGATTTTATTTTGTCTCACTTGTTTGTATTCTAGTGTTGTTATTTCCATTGGGTTTCATTTGCTCTTTTCTTTCTCGTGTCTTGAAATAGACAATTAAACTGCTGGCTTGAAAGCTTTACTTTTTAAATGTTGTCATCTGTAGTTCTGATTCCCAGAAATGCCACATTTGCTATATGACATCAATACTGGCGTTTTGTTTTCCTTCGTCCTCATGGCTCTCCTGATTTCTTCAACTCACTGGTTATTTATTAGTGTATTAAATTTTATTTGTAGTTCGTCCCCTATACTTCTCCTATTTTCAATCAACTGCTACAAAGCATGCCTGTAATCTCAGCACTCGGGAAGCTGAGGCAGGAGGATCACTGTGAGTTCAGACCAGCCGGGGCTACACAGTAATTTCCAGGTCAGTCTCAACTACATAGTGAGACCCTGTCTCAACAAACCAAAAAAAAAAAAAAAAAAATTCAACTGCTACATGTCGAATGTCCCCGAAGGCCTACATTACGGGCTTGGTCCAAACTCATGGTCACTCAGTGCTATGGGCAGAGGGGCCTCCGGGAGAGCGGCCCCAGCCCCCACTCTCCTCTCCCGGTCCCCTGCAGTGCTCTGCAAGAACAGGGAGCACAGGCCCAGAAATGGGGGTCCTTCGTGCTCTTCATGTATGGATCCTCCACTCGCCGAGTTGCCACAGAGGAACATTACAGCAAGGCCGAGAGCTGCTTCTCTCAGTGGAAACCCTGGCTGCTGAGAGCTGCACAGTTGTCTGTAACAACTGAACTCTCAGACAGAAACTGTTTCTGCAAATACAAGAGAGACTTCTGTCACCCAGCAGGGATGGACACATGTCTCACAGCTCCAAGAGCTTCTGCTTAGTTCTGCATGTTTATAAAGAACAGTTTGGGGTTTCTTGATTGTTTGGAGTTTTTTATCTTTTTGAGATAAGGTTTTGCTATACAGATCAGGCTATGTAGCCCAGGCTGGCCTCAAACTCAAAGGATCCTCTATTTTACCTAGCCTCCCAAGGGCTGAGGTTCAGGCACAAGCCACCACGCCCAGCCTAACAAATGTCTTTAAAATACAGCTTTCCAGCATAAAAATATAGGTGACCACCTGACTGCAGCACAGAAAAACACTCCCATTTGTGTGTGCACCTAACACTAACAACAGAAGTCAGCCGTACCAGCAGAGAGCAAAAGACTATGCCCTTTGTATATGAACACCTTGGTGTATACAAAGACACCACATTATCTTTACACTATTACTTACAGAGGACCAGGAATCAAGAAACAGGGTTTCCTGACACCAGCACAGCTGGATGAAGGCATTAACTACAGCAAGCATGAACACGTGTAAATCAAATTAGGAATGGGTTTGTTTTGTTTTTGGTACCGGGGATTGAACTCAGGACCTTACGCTTGCCAGGCAGGCGGCAGCACCATTGAGCTAAATCACCGGCCCAAGAACGGGTTTTTCAATTGAGAGTTCTTTCACATGGTCACTACTAGATTACATACAATTTATTTCCCTAAAGAAATACTTTGGCAACTTTCAAAAAGGACAAATTTGCAGGAATTATGCAATCTGCTTTTAAGGTTTAATGCAAACCATATAACCAGGACAGTGTGGTCCTAGTTATGGACAAATGGACACACTGAATCAAAAGACAGCTCAGGATACACCATACCTGTGTGGTCAGACCACGACTAAGTACCAGGGCAGGTCAGTAGTCTCCTGGACACAATATCAGCAAAGAAAACACCAAACATTGATTGACTCAATCCTCAGACCATACATAAAGTTAACTCAAGATAACTTTCAGACCTAAAAGTAAAACTTAAAGCTATAAAGATGAGAGAAGGAAACAAGATGATGCCATTATGAACTCAGGAGAAACAAAACTCAGGAGAAACTCATGCAAAAATCCAAAGTACCGCCAGGGATTTGGCCCAGTGGTTCGGTGGCCTGCCTTGCAAACACAAGGACCCGAGTTCAATCCCCGGTACAAAAAAAAAGAGGGAAGAACTCAAAAATCCAAAGTATCAACCACATTTAAGAAAGAAAAAGAAATGAAATCAGACTTTACCAAAACTAAAAATTTCTGTTCAAAAGCCACCATTAAAAAAAAAAGGCATGGGTCGGTGTCATCATGCCTGTCTGGCAAGGGCCAGATCCTGAGTTTGATTCCCATATGGGAAAAAAAACAAAAGGTATAGCCAGGTGGGTGTGGTGGCGCATGCCTATAATCCCAGATTTCAGAAGGCCGTGGCAAGAGTGCTGCAAGTTCAAGGTCAGGCTGGGCTACATAGTGAGTTTAACAACACATCAAGACCCTATCTAAAACAACAACAAAATAGAAAAGGCAATCCACAAAGAAAATATCTTCAATCCTTATGCCCGACAAGAGTTGAATCCAGGTACATATATAGCATACAAATAACATATATGTTTATTTGCTTACAATACTTTGTAAATAAAAATATATATCCTACAAGTCAATAAAAACATATTTCCAGTATAATATAGGCAAGAGTCTTGAAAAAAAGCCACAAAAACAGCATGTACAAATGGCCAATAAACTTTTAAAGATGCCATTATTAGCACATACCAGGGAAATGTAAATTCAAATCACAATGACATACAGGACCACTGTACACTCACGAGGTAGCTAAAATAACAGATAACACCAAATGTTGGAAAGAAAGTGAACGACTGAAAAGTATCAGTCACTGATGAGAATACAGAATGGCACAACTGCAGCAGGAAAACAGTTAGCAGTTCCTTAAAACTTGGTTATATACTCACCCTGTGATTCAGCACCACAGCTTCAAGGTAGTCACTCATAGAAATGAAAGCATTAAACCCAAAAAAGTATAGGAGGCTAAGAGGAGGGTACTCAGAGCTCAGCACTTGCCCTGTATGTGTGGGTTACTCGCTGGGTCTGGTCCCCAGCACCACAAGTAAAAAGATGTTCACAGCCTATATGTATGTTCATCGTGGCTTCACTCAAAGAGCAGAAATTTGGAAAGAACCAAAATGTTCACCAACACAAGAATGGGCAAGCGAAAGAATGGTGTTCAGCAATCATAAGGAACATGTCACTCACATAAAGCCCTTCCTCCCAACAGTCACATCCTGTTGTCCCTCCAGTGCGGCACCTGTGCTGGCCCTGTGACGAAGGCAGCGGATCTCTGTGCTCACACCGCAGACCTCGGGAGGCCTGACCACCCGGAACTGCCCTGCAGGGAGGCAGCTGGGTGGGAAAGACTGTGACAGCGAAGGCAGGAGGACCACGGCTCAGGGAACCCAGCTGCACCTGTGGCCCCACACGAGTGTGAGAAGTCATGGCTGTGCGTGGCCAGTCCAGGCAAACACGAAGATGACCTCAGCGGTGCCACCACGGGACTGCAGCACTGCAGCCAACAGGCAGCTGCCGAGTCCTGCACCCTGACAGAAGTGCGAAGGTGCCACGTTGCGGGGTCATGAAGCAGCCGCCTCCCCGAGGCCTCTTCTATCGGAAACTGTGTCAGGTGAGCAGAGACAGGCTGCAGCGCCTCCCAGCCCTCCCGCTCCCACCTGGTCTCAACATACTCTTTACCTACGGCCTTTTTCACGGCTTGATAAAGATCAGATGGAGTTAGATTTCCAGATCTAGCTGAAACTCTGGATTCTGTTACCTTCAACGGGGTCAGCTCTGAGTCACTTAAAGACAGTCCTGAAGTTCTTTCATAAAATATGGAGTTTGGCTTCCCCACATGCACGTGCACATGCACACACGTACACACACGTACACATACACACACACACACACACACTCTACATGGCTATCTGGGGCCAGCTAGACACCACTGCCGAGTGCCTACCATGTGCCTTTGCAAGGACAGGATGTGGCCCTGCTTTGAGGTGCTGAGACGCGGGGGAAACGCAAATAAGCAGGCCATCAGCACACAGCAGTTTCCGGAGTCGGGTGCCAAGGTCACACAGGGAGGGCATGGAGTCCACCTGCCAGGGAACTCACTGCCATCTCTGCTCAGTCTCTTGGGGGATGGGGTGCATACGCCTCGCGTGTGCCTGGGTGCCAGGAGCAGGGGTAATGGGAAGGGTGGTACGCAGGCACACATGTGCCCCAGACTGGGCCTTGCCCTGTCGCAGCAGAACGTGGGGAGCCCCTGGCTACTAGGAAGTACGTCCCGCACCCACTCAGGAAGCAGCTCGCTTCTCTTCTGAGTATGCCAACACACACAGGACTGCACGCTGCGTGCTGCGCTCTCAGGGAGAAAGAAGACTGTGACTGCCACAGGAGTTTCCTCATTTTAGTAAAATATACACAAAATTTACCATCTTAACTATCTTTCAATTTAGAGCACTCACACTGTTGTGCAATCATAGCCATCATCCATCTCCGGAGCTCTGCTGTCTGCCCAAACTGAAACTCCGCGCCCTTTCCACACTTGCCCCCCAGCCCCAGCCCTCTCCTTGCAAGCGCTTTCCTGCTTTCCATCTCCACGAACCTGACGACTCCTGGAGCCTCACATAAGTGGGATCACACAACAGTCACCCTTCGCTAGCCAGCGCATCTCACTGAGGCTCATCCATGTCACACGTGCTGGGACTCCCTTCCGCCTGAAGGCTGAGTAATCCCCACTGATGCGCAGACCCCTCATCACCTACCCATCCACAGTACTATAGTTTCTAAAATGCCCCCTAAAGGTCCACGTACGGACAGCTTGGTACCCAGCCTGTGGCACTGCCTGGAAGTGGCAGGATGTCCTATGTCACTGGGGGGAGAGCTGTCGGAGAGGGCGGGGACGCTGGCTCCTTCTCTCTCTCACTTCCCAGCCACCGTGAGGTGAGCAGCTTCCTCTGCCACACACTCCATGATGCACCGCCTCTCCACAGCCCCAAACAGCCGTGCCAGCTGGGCACAGCCCAAGTCTCCACACTGAGCACAAACAAACCTCCTCTTCCCAAGCTGATCTCAGGTATTTTTACAGAAATAAAAGACCGACGGGCACACCCCCAATTGGTTGAGGGGCACTCGGTTGTTCTCTTTTCACCATTTTCAATAATGCTGCCAAGTGTGGGTGTACAAAATACCTTCAAGTCTGCTTTCACTTCTTTTGGTTTCTTGTTTTTCTTCCCAGTACTGGGATTGAACTCAGGACCTTGAGCTTCCAAGGCAGGCAATGCACCTCTGAGCTCAATACCCAGCCCTTTCACTTCCTTTGGGTAATCCAAGAAGTGGAAGTGCTGGATCAAACAAAAGTTCTATGCCCGTTTTTATGAGAAACAAACACACAGTTTTCTATATCAGCTACATCATTTCACATTTCTAAGAGCAATACATAAGCATTCATTTTCTCCACCTCCTAGGCAATACTTATTTTTTGTTTTTTTTTTTTTTTGGTGCCAGATCAAACTCTGGACTTGTGCTTGCAAGGCAGGCAGCAGAACCACTGAGCTAAATCCCTGGCCTTCAGTTATTTTTTGTTTTTTTGACAACTGCCATCCTAAGGGATACAAGATGGTATTTTGCCGGGCGTGGTGGCGCATGTCTGTAATCCCAGCACTCGGGAGGCTGAGGCAGGAGGATTGCTGGGAGTTCAAGACCAGCCTGGGCTACATAGTGAGTTCCAGGTCAGTCTCAACTACATAGTGAGACCCTGTCTCAAAAACCAAAAAAACCAAAAAAAAAAAAACAAAAAAAAAAACGATGGTATGTTGTTGCAGTTTTGATGAAAAGGACTTTTTAAAGATTAGCTGGTTGCTCCTGGTCTGGAGCTTCCTTGGTGAAGTGAATTAACCATTAAAAGCTTCCACCAGTTCCTAGTACACAACTCTGCTGGGACCGGCCAGGGACACCTGTTCCAGGCAGCTGCGTCACCTCCTCGAGAATCTGCCCTTCTGCACAGCCTTGTTCCCAGCAAGCAACTCTGCCACACCTGCTGCAGCTAGCTGTCGCCGTGAAAGTCACTAACACTAAGATAAAATCCTCCTCCTCAGACTTGAACGGAACCGAAGTGGCACAGGTGTGGCCAGCCCGCCCGCCCGCCCTAGACAGGCACAGCACCTCTCTCCGTGAAGTCCCACACTCCTTCCAGGTCCACCAGCCCCTCACACGTCAGTCACATGCAGTCCTTGCAGATTTATGTAACGAAGTTTATCTTTAACACCCTTTAAGACTGCAACGAATCAGAGACGATGCTCTGTACAGAACATCCACCCACAGGCGCCTCTACCAACAAGCCGGCTCCAGCCACCACAGGCCTCTACGGCCAACAACTCAGTATCCAGAGAGCATATGCACTCTCCCTTTTTATTCTCAAAAACTTCCCCTGGCTCAGTCTCCTTGAGCAACACTAATATTACCACACAAATACTGTGATTCTTTGGAGATGCTGTCTGACTATAGGCCATGTTCTGCTTGAATTTTAATCATCATGGACAACCATATGTGGACCCATATGTCACCAGCTCGTGGCACTCTCGGGGGGTGCTGGTGCGTAGCGAGAGAAGCGAGGTCCCAGCCATGCCCACTCAGGGGACTGCAGGACTTCACCCTCCTCTCTTGCTGCCTTCCCACCACTGTGAGTGAACCTTTTTTTTGGGTTTTTTAAATTGTGAGACAGGGTCTTGCAAAGTCACTAAGAGGTGTCCAGGCTGGGCTCAGACTTCCAATCCTCTGGCCTTACCCTCACAGCGCTGGGACTGTAGGCGTAACACCATACCTACCATGACTCTAGCACTTTTGTTTTAGCGTTTTCCTCACTCATCTCACTCCTTTCTTGGTGGCGCACTCTGCTGTGTAGATGTTTTCATCAGCTTTCCTCTCAACAGGACAAAACACGTGATACCGGCACCATAAAGACAGGTCAGCCAAGTGTGGTGGTGACTCCTGCAGTCCCCAGCACTCTGGGAGGAGGAATGCCAAGTTTGACCCCAGCTTGGATAACTTAGCAAAAAAAAAGGAAAGACAAGTTTACTTCCTCACACTTTCAGATGGTCAGCTGGCTTCAAGCCAGAAATGGCATGATGTCAGGCTGAGCAGAGGCAAGCAGCTCAGCTCAGCTCCAGGCCCTGCCTACCAAGAGTTCATTCAGCTGAGACCACTCCAAAGGAGGTATGAATCAGGAAGTACAGCACTCTAGGATCCAGTCACCTTCCAAAGCCCCACCTCTGAACATAGGAGACTTTCACCTGACTGCCTTGCAAGTGCAAGGTCCTCAGTTTAAAAAAAAAAAAAAAAAAAAAAAAAAAAGGATATACATGAGATTCTAAATTATAACAGCTGACATGAAAAAGGTCTCACAGGTGACACATTTTAAACTGGCTCTACTCTCAATACCCACAACAGTGTCTGACACCTAAGAGCTTTGTAAATATATACTTAACTATAATCCCAGCACTTGGGAGGCTGAGGCAGGAGGATCACTGTGAGTTCGAGACCAGCCTGGGCTACATGGTGACTTCCTGGTCAGTCTCAACTACTTAGTGAGACTAAAAAAAAAAAAAAAAAAAAAAAAAAATCTGCTCAACTAATCAAGGTAGACTATTGACAGCACTGAGGGGAGCTAAGGCAGGAGGAGCTCAAGTCTGAGTTTCACCTGAGCAACTCAGCGAGACTCTATTTCAAAATAAAAAAAAAAAGCAAGGCCCAGGGCTGTCGCTCAGTGGCACAGCACTCCTGGGTTTGAGCCTCAGTACCGGGGAAAAAGAACACTTACTAAATTCTACCACCATTAAGTGACCCAGCTAGCTTGAATTAGTAACTGTTGGTGGTAATGAAGAAGTATGAGAGTAATGAGTATCCCATTTCACTTTAATAAAGGACACAGTAAGCAGGCACCAACAGCGGCCACGAGTGTTTTTTAACTGGCACCTGGACGCACCTAGGATGTTGGAGATGCTAAGTATAGCATGTGCTCACCCCTGAGCTGCGCCCTCAGCCCCACCGGGCTTTTATAAAGCTGATTTGTGTCTGATTTAATATTCACTGATTCCCTGAAGCACACAAACTGAGCTGAAAGGACACATTTAGGTTTCCTTTAAGTTAGTGTCACATGCCCTGAGGTTCCTCCCGCCGTGACAGTTTCTCAGATTTCACCACTGTGATCCATGAAGTGGCTGGAGTCTTCCGAGGATGTTCCCAGGTCATGTCCCGTACCTTGGTCATGTTTTTCTCAGGGTCACACAGGGATCATGGGACTTGGGAAGCTATCGCGGAGCTGCAGTGCCCTTCTCATATCATTTTATTAAGGCCACATGAGTTACTGAGTCACAGCACACACTTCACCAGTCCCGAGGTCTGTGAAACCGACAGGTGCTCCCTGAACGGTGATGCTCGCAGAGTGCCCACGTGTGTTTGTGTCTTACAGACCCTTCTGCATCCTTGGGAAGTCACAGTTGGTTTTATTTAGATTTTCTATGAAGATTGATACTTTCACTTTGGCGCTAACTTCTTTTCATAAATATCCGTGGTTTTCCATTTTCGCGATGTGGTTGGTCCTTTCTCTTCTCGGAAGGCATCTCTGATCTGGCTCAGCACCGCAGGGGCAGGCACGCTCCACCTGCGTTCTGGAGTCTGAACCACTAACTAGGCTGACCTCTCCGGCGCCTGAGTCCTCTCCGGGGCTCCTGGGAACAGTCTAGACCCTGGCCCACCAGTCCCTCCCAGCACCGCACAGCCAGCCCCGCGTCGGCCCGGGTCCCCGCCAGGGCCCTGCGGACC